ATGCATCTACAGTTCGTATGAGATAGAAAGTGAATGTCACCTCCAGAAGACTGTTCCTGCTCCCTAAATGAGGTTCCATAGGTACTAAGCCATACCCCTTCCACTGTTCATCCTTCCCGGTCCCTTTAGCGGAGCCCCGTACCTAGCGGGCCCCATCCGTAGGTACATCCGAGCTGTACTGTGCAGTAGGTAGAGACCTGCCCTGAGTGCTTTCCTCCCTCGTCCCCCTATCGCCCTTTGCAAGGTCCTGGATAGCAACCCCTTGTCCCGTGTCCATAATCCCCTGCTCTCGCCTCTCCTCTCCTGGCCTGGTCTGGCTTCGCTTTTTTTTTTTCTCCCTCCTATCTCTTCTTGGTCAACGTCTTTTCTCTTATTCCCCCCTCCTTTCTTTTCCCCCTCGTCAACGCCTACGCTCATCGCTCGGCCTGTTCGTCACTCTCCTCGACGCCCTCTTCTTCTAATCGCAAATTCGACAAGCACCGATCCCGTGTTGCTTCAATCGTTTGCGTTGCGCCGTGCGATTGTGCTGTTCAGCCTCACCTCCTTTGATCTCACTGCCGTCGTCTCATGACGAGGTAGTCTTTTCGCCTGCTCATCCTCCGCCCTTTATCGGATAACATCTTTCGTCGACTTACCTTACAGGATATCTCGACGACTGCCAGTCGTTACTTTCACCTGCAACCTGTTGAAATAAACTCTTCGATGTCGGCCGGCTCCACTACAACTTTCGCTCCGCATACAAGTTAATTTTCGGCCTTGCCTGTCTCAAACCAGTAAATCTTACCATCACACGCATCCGCTGTACAAACTCTTGCGAATCGACAACCCCTCGGCCTAAGCGTGCCAGACTGTTCAGCCTAGTATGCAGCGGCGCCATTCAGTCACCATGGCCGCCCGCAACAACAATAATTCGCGAGGCCCATCGGGCAGGAAGATCGATCCTCTTCTCCCCTATTCCATCATTTCAGAAAAAACAAAGAAGCCCAGACTTCGTATGCGATCACTTCTGGGACCCTGCCATGCCAGAAGGGTGTTGACATGGCTTTTCGGCGTGGCTGTGCTCATCACCCTGATTTTTGTAAAATCCAGAAATTCTGGCTACAGCGTTGGAAAGATGAGCGGCACAAAGTCTCAGCAGCCCATTGCGACCGCCACCGTCTTGAACACACACGGCGAAACTGTTGTAATGCTCACCGGTGATATGGATGGTGATGGAAAGCTCGAAACCGTTCCTGAAAACGAATATGTCACTGCTGATGAAAAGAAAGAAGTTGCTGCGCAACTTGAGAAGATGCCTTGGTTGAGATTCCCTCAGTACGTCGAACAGTCTAGTTTAATGCTTTTACTAACTATCTATTCAGCCTCGACGGGTACTTCCACGGTCTTCGGACTATCGTCAGCAAAGCCAACCTCGTTCCCGAATATCCCAATATTACTGATAAGGCTCCGATGCCCTCTCCCACTATGAGCGATCATGTGCCTAAGCCTCAGAAGTACATTCCTTACGACCATGGCAGTGATGTCAAGACCTGCTATCTCGATTCCAAGAAAACGGTACCAGCTCCTGATCTGTATGCTTACAATGGTGTTCCTCAGCACATGCCGGATCCCGCCATCGGTTCGTACAAGCTCCTCGGACTCAGAGACGATATCTGTTTCGATCGTTTCAGTCGGTATGGACCTTACGGCCTGGGTTATAGCAGAGCCCAGGGCGGTCTAGATACTGGCTTAGACACCGAGGCGTCTGGTAACGAGCATGTCTGGGCAGCGACTGGGAAAATCAACTATATCGATGTCAACTGGGCAGATGCACAGGAAGACTGCTACAAGGCCAATAAGCATAGATTCAAGCAGGTCAACCCTGACACTCAGGAACTCTCGGAGACAAGCGACAAGAAGGGACGCATTGCTGTCGTCGTTCGAACATACACCGGCTTCAAGTGGACTGAACTAGCTGTGCTGAACTTCCGGGCGCTTATCAGTGAGCTTTCCCTGCGATCGGGCGGTGAATACCAGGTTCACTTCCTGATGCAGGTGCGAAATATTGATGAGCCCATCTGGTCTGATAAGTGGACTGTACAGCGTATCATCAATGACAACGTCCCTGCTGAGTTCCGAGGCCTAGTATCGCTCTGGAGTGAGCCTCAAATGAGACTCATGTACCCCGGACGATTTGGCGAGACGATCGAGAACCCCAGTGGTGCCGATATTCACGGCATCTACCGTAGCGCCCACTTCCCTCTCCAAGTTTTCGCAATGCAACACCCCGAGTATGAACACTACTGGAACTGGGAGATGGATATGCGATATCTGGGCAGCTACTACGAATTCTTTGACCGCCTAGGCAAGTGGGCTAAGGAGCAGCCTCGAACCCTTCTCTGGGAACGCAGCGCTCGCTACTATATTCCTCCCTACCATGGCACTTGGGAGAACTTTTCTCAAACTGTGCAACAAGACACTCTGGCCTCAGGTCGCGCTCCCATCTTCGGCCCGGTATCCTTTGAGGGCAAGGAACAGCTACGGCATGATGAGTGGGGTCAGTCGATGATGCCCCCTTCGTGCAGCTCTGATGCTCCCGATCGATCCAAATGTGGCGTTGGTGAAGAGGCTGATATTATCACTCTCAATCCACTGTTCGACACCGAGCAATCTGGCTGGGTCTTCTCGGATGATGCTACAGGCTACAAGGCTCCTCCTCCGCGACGATGCGCCATCATTACTGCATCGCGTCTCAGCCGTCGTCTGCTAATGTCCATGCATGAAGAGGTTTGGCGATACCATCATACCATGTTCTCCGAGATGTTCCCTCCAACCGTTGCGCTGCATCATGGTATGAAGGGAGTGTACGCCCCACACCCAATTTTCCTCGACCGAGCTTGGTACCCTTTTAGTGAAATTGATGCAGCCTTCAACGCTGGTCGTGATCATTCGACATCTGGTCCTGGCAGTCCTTTTGACCAACTCAACGAGCATAATCACAAGGGCACCAGTTGGTACTTTAACAGCGAGTTCGCTGGTCTGATGTGGCGCCGATGGTTGGGTTATGCCCAACTAGATGGCCGTGGCAAGCATGGAGGTCGTGCCAATGAGGGACGGGAGAGGGGTGGCAAGACAGAAGAGATGAACGAGAACAGCAGCGGCCGGTTATGTCTGCGTGGTATGCTGGTGCATCCCATCAAGTTTGAGCATCCTTCAGAGAAACCTTGAACCTAGGTACGCGAAACCAGGACCCTCTTCAACCTTGTCGCCGTCATGAGCAAGGCGACGCTACATGTCCTCACTCTACCAGCGCACACGACAGACATCACCACGCACATATGCATTTGCAGGAGCATCTGTACAAATATACCCACGACTACTGAATGGCAAGACATCCGATTCCTAGTAACACCATGACGATGAGGGACATGACGCGATTTCCATGCATCCATTTTATCCAGTTCCTTCCTTCGTCCGGCTTGCATTCCGTTTACGGACCCAGCGAACTTGTCCTAGAACTACCTAGACACTTTATTATTTGAACCTTATCATACCTTACTTATTTCTTCACTTCCAACGTTTGGGTATTCTATCGGCCAAGGGTTTCCAGAACGTCGTCCTAATTCATCCCCCCTCTCATCTTGGCTGGGAATCATTCGAGGTTGTCTGCATATTTCAAACCCAAAATTCACTGTTTTGAACTTGTCTGTTAATTCTCTGTTCTTTTTATTTATTTTACTTGCCACTCAATCAGTGTGGCATGTCGTTTCTGGGTACGAGGCATCCAGGACCAACTGCGGAAGGGTTCTCCGCGCATGCTAAGGGGCGTTCTGGACCGGGGGATTTTGGGAAGACAAATGTGAACATGGTGCGACTTGTATAGATTCAATCTAGTATTAGAGGTGGCAGTTTGGTGTGAAATTTCTAACTGTGTTTGAAACCAGCCTTTTGGTTTGATTGTTGATACTCGTAATATTGGCCAAACGTTGCTCAACGGGCGACATCCGAAGTAAACTTAGTTTATTCCAGTTTGGCTGGCAGTCGGTTCAGCGATAAAGCCGCATGTCTTACCATGGTTCAAGACTTTTTGAAAAAAAAACGAATTTGGGGTGCCTCATTTGCTGGTGCCCTCAAGTCAGCTTCGAGTAAATGTTACATGAATAGACTCGCTACAAATGCAGGGAAAATGTTCAAGATCAGGCGCCGAACCTTACTTATGAATTGTTTCGACATCATAAGGAAGACTGATGTGTGGCCAGTGAGTATTAGTGGTGAAAGGGAGGCTTCTCTTGTCCGAGTCCATTCGTGGTCATGATCTTGTTATTCAAGAATTGGTGATGGGATGTTTTCACGAATCATTCTAACACATAGATTCATCTCGAGGAACAGTATTCTCTTGGAATAAAGGAAGTGGAGAAGAAGAGTTATTCAGGGCATATTGTCTGTTCATAATTCGAAAGTCCCTACTATAAGCTAAGCCCTCATCCATTCAATTGAAGGCGCCTTCTTCCAACTAACCAGTCCCCATGTCCCAACTCAGAGTGACACCAAAATATCAATCTAAAAGAACTAAATGCCAGGTTCAGGCTGGCCGTCAATATAGTATAGAGCAATATGCGCTCGCCATTTCCTGCGTTTCTGGGGAATCACTTGCCCCGTCACTCACATTCCACTTCGTTCAACGACGAAGGGCTGATGAACGCTTCAGACCGCAGGCAAAGGCACATCACAACGGCTTGCTTAACCCAAAAGTACCATCTTTAAGAGGCAAAGACAAGAGAACACAGTTATCCTCGAGGTATCAAAATCCCCTGACGCCTTCAACACTCAAGACCCCTCCAACGCCATGACGCCCAAATGCAAGTTTCCGAGTTACGGAAAGACTGAATAAGTCAAGCGAGTGTCGCTGAGTATACGAGCGACATGGGTTGCTCGTCATCTCTGCTGCTGTCTCCCAAATCGTATACGAGGTTGTTGAGAATCAATAACCCTGTATAACACTGGGCTCTCCTCAAAATATCTTACTTCCTCAGAACGGCGTCATAAATGCTGACCACGGCGGTGACAGCAGTGCCAGTCAGGATACCCTTATAGCCGCCATAAATGGCGTTCTCGAGGCGCATTATAGACAGATCGTTCAGAAGACCGCCAAAATTAACGCCTTGCCCGTAAACAACGAATGAAACCAAGGCTTTGACGATGCTGAAAGTCAAGGGATCGACAACATAGTCCGCGTGGCTTGGGCGAGGGCGTCCGCGCGAAGGTGGGGGGCTTGTCGCGCTCAGGTTGAAGAAGTAACCAGCAAAAGAGGGGATGATGACGCTGGTCAGTATCCAAGTCAAGGCTGGAGACCAGAAGCTGGATGTCAAAAGAAGGAACATATCGGGAACATAGACAGGGTAGTCCGATGTACCGAGTGTGCTGATGGCGGGAATTGTGAACGCGTAAACATTGCTCAGAATTTCGCGGCGAACGTTCCAAAGCTCCCAGCCCGCGACACAGAATAGGATGCTGGTGACGGTACTGAGAGTGTCGCGAGTCGCATGACTGACCTCGGTGATTCCACTCTCCTCGTAAAGGGACGAGACGCGCTGGCGCACAATACTAGTGGAGCGATCAACAGCGAGAGCAACATCAGCGGGAGTGGCTGGAAGCGCAATGCGCGATGCGACCTCGGACAGAGCGCGACCAGGAGTCTCGATGAGTGCTGTCGATGGAGCTTGGGGGGAAGAGGCATCGTCGCTTCTATGGTTCAGAAAACATGATATTAGCTTAGTTACTGCAATCGCGACGCGCGACGCCTTATTTGCATCGTCGCGCGCGGCCAATTCAGAAGAAGCGCAAAACGCGCCTGAGGCTCTTGGATGACTGGAGGTCACTCACTCGGGGGTCACTTCTTCCACGGCCTTGGAAGGTCGTCTTCGGACTACCTTCAGGGCATCTTCACGGAACACTTCTTTCTTGATTGGAGATCCTTGGGCCTTAGAGCGACTGTTGAAGTAGCCAGCGAGCTCGGGGTTGGCGAGAAAGCGCGTCGAGTTCTCAGTGAGGAAGTTATCAAGAGCCACACCAAGGTCATCTTTCTTATAGCCGTCGATACTGCATATTCGTGTCAGCACAAGAGTGTTTCCTTGATCGCATGGAGGGGTCGTGATGGCAGAGTGGGCGCGTCGCGAAAGCGCTTGGACATGCTTGGGCGCAAAATAAGAACAAGGAAAGGTGATGCGGGCAATGTTGGAGAGCGGGTGGTGCGCGCGTAAATGTCACGTATATCGGTAGATCGGGAGAAGTCAACATACTCTGACAGGCCAACAGACTCGGCAAGATTCTCGAGTTCGCCCTTCTTCTTGGTCTTCAGCCAAGAGTTGTATCTATGGTTGGACATGTTGGTGGATAGGTTGAAAGCGAATGCGCATAAAGCGAATTTCAGCAATTGACAATGCCTTCGTTGCAAGTGGCAGTATAATATGTATACGGAGTGGGAGACTGGGCCACAGCCAGAAGAAGAAAATGAAGCTGGTGATGGTGATGAAGAACAGAGGTACAAGCTCGAATGTGTTGTTTGGGGGGGGTCCACGTTGGATGGGGGACGGCTGATGACTGATGGCTGATGGACTGGTGAAGAACGGAAGGGCCCGTGTCAACAATGAGCAGCGGGTCCGGTCCCTTGTTTATGTTTGTTTTTTTTTACTCCCATGTCTTCTCCTTCGATCTGATGGGCATGCCCCGCAGGAAAGGTGTGGATGGCTTTGCTGTGAGAGAAGCGCCCAATAAAAGGGCGGGAATCCGGAGCTTCCAGCTGGGAAACCTAACCAAAGCTAGCCAAAGGTATCAGTGCTATTGACGGTCCACTTTCTAATAACTAAAGTGTAACTCGGGCCGGGGCTCTCTTGCGCCAAAAATGACCTCATTATTCATCCCAGCCAAATATTCTGAAGCTTCGAGTAGGGAGCTCTCTATTCAGTCCAATCCGATGACAACATCTGCCACAATCGATATTATCAGCCATGTCAAATTTGGTTTTTTGGCAGATACCATTATAAAATACGTAGGTAGTCATGTAGGTATTAAACATAAGGTACTGGGTAGTTAGGTAGGTAGTAGTAGTCGACTACTGACAGCCAAGACACACTTATTCGTAGATCCATATATGCCCGGTAGTAGTAGTATGTAAATCCCTCCGCGCCCTAACAAAGAGCTTGGCTACCTAGGTAATAAATGCCAATGCCAGGACTGTTGAACGAAGTGGTGTAGTCCAATCAACACAACTCGGAACCGCATCTCAGCTCCAATCATGAGTTTAGCATAAACACTATAGGAACACTTCCATTGGGCATCATTTAGCTCACAGGTTTTTCTTGTCCTGTCTTAAACAGCCTGACCGGCACATGTCATCACTGATTTGAGTGTCAGCACTGAAGTTGCACCCCGTATCTTCTTTCTACTGCTCGATTGGACTTTAGCGTAGACTTTACCCCGTGTCGCTCGATCAGTTTGCTTATTACTCGCCTGACTATATGTAACCAATTCTAGGATGTGGCCCTTGAATAAAACCGCAAGTGTAGTAATGATTCTTCCTAAGAAATCAGTTGGCTAAGGCGTGATCTTGGCTTATTGCTAAAATGAGATGAATGAGTCAACCTCTGGCTGCAAAGGTATGACGATACGGCACCTGACGATATGAATGTCTTGCTAGGGATAAATAACTCTTATCGTTGATAGTGATGGCCTGACCCTTCTTTGAAGGCACTTTCATAGGAATTTCGAAAACTGCTGGTGTTATTCTTGGAGTTTCGTTAAACCGAATGCCTAACATGCTGGCCACGCTGGGGTTGATTATGTTTTTATAGCCGCATAATGATGGATCGCTATCGCCACATATCTCGTTAATGGCACCGTGAGGACCTTTTTTCGGTATTGAGTTGTTTGCCAGCTCTAATAAGATAGACCGAAGATACCTGCCGAAGTCTTATTTCCTGCAGCTGGCATAACAAAGGTGTTTCTACGGACATTATCCTGCGGTATTATCACTTTGTGCAGTTCTGTGCCTTGCGGATGAGGACCGACATCAGTCCTATAGCTGGATCTTTCCAGTCAGCCCATGAGGTCCATACCATCTATACGCTCACTCTGGCGGACTTCGATAATCTTTTCGTCGATCAGCGGCAAGGACATTATCGCTGGATTGACGTAATTTCTCATGTTTCGACGCACACTTGGGGATATGCTCGCGTCGAGAACATATTTTCTGACTAGCCTCGGAATTGTAGACCATCATGGGCCAAATCACTGGTGACTCTACGAGAAAACGTCTCCTCTGCTGGTGAAACCTTCATGCCCTTCACGATAAGGGAACCCAGTTGTCAAGACTCCGGGAAGTTATCGTGTTAACAGTAGCCCAACCACTGCAGGACCTACCTAATCGAGCTAGGATTCCTACCAGGCTTCGGATAATACTTAGATGACTGTAATCGAAAGTTTAACGTTTAGCAGACAGAGCAAGAAAACTAGTGAGCAAACTGCGGAACTTGTGTGAGCTATGGGACGCACCAGAGCAAGATAAAATAGAACGAACGAGCAATACTAAAAGACTCACCACGTTCATTTCAGAGCACAGTAGCTCCCCGGAGACTACTTATAAATGTATATATACGATACAGGATAGTTGTCCAAATTGGCAATATAAATAGTACCTAGACAATTGGGTCATTGCAAGTGGGGCATAACATATAGTGTAGGGTAACCTGAATGATATTGACGGAACGTGGAATGCTTCCAGTACAGGCCTGATGAGATGTCTGCAATATTGCTATTGAGGGCAGCAGGCAGGCAATGAGAGAAAGCGAAATGATTGGGGTTTTGACTTCGCGAAAAGAACCATGTGTTTTTCTTTTGTTCCTCTTGTGCGTTGGTTAAGGCGTTGGTCACTGCACCTCACACCTCGACTTACAGTATGAACGGCTATATTGATGATATTTGTCCAACATCTAAAGCCAGGACCGTAGCGTCATCCGTATCCGTAGACCTACATCAGTTAAAACAAGTGCGATTTGTTTTGTTGGCCAACTCTGGTTGCTCATGTTTCATGTAAGCAAAGACAGAAGACATTGTCTGTATCAATATTTACTATATGGCTAGTAGACTAAGATTACTGAGCCTGCATTGTTCAAATCATAGGTCCAACAGAGAACTTGGGATGGTATTGATCACAACGGGTAACAGTACCAGGGTAGCAGTTGTTATAACGATGATTTGACTGCGCAACAAGAGACCATAATGACTGGAGGATATGAATCCGGTTAAAGAGTACGAGGTATGATAGCCCCTATAAAAGTAATTAATGGAGAAGCACCGTGACAATCAACCACTAAGGTATGCTTAGTATTTCACGAGTCAATACATTGGTCTGTTTCCATGCGCATCTTCCTAGAGCGACGGGGACAAGAAGAACATGGCTCCCTCCTATACATACATTAATGGTTATGTCAACTTCCAGAGGTAATTCGATTAATTTCAATATTAATTTCCTCTGACCTAGGTCCAGTATGGGGCACCCAAAAGTCCGAAGAAGCGGCCCTCGGAACCATCACGATCAAGACATTGTTAAATGATTTATAGTGAGGCCATTAAATAATGACAAATCCCTTTCAAGTTGTACCTAGTTACAGAAAATTTATGTATGTATCAATCCAATGTTGATCGCCATTTCACCCTGAAACCCATCCATAGGTACTTAGGTACCTGTTTATACGAGGATCTTGTCGAGATGGCTAGATGGGGTACTAACATGAGCGGCCATGGATGGAAGCTACCTGCCAGACTAATAAGATCCTGAAACCAACCCGTCTAAACCCCGTCTAAACGCCCGCAGCGCCTCCTACCTTGACAACTTAGGACTAAGGTAGTATAAGTAGGCCTGGCAGGTAACTTGGGGGATTATCCAGGTGGGCTTCATCGCCCTTTCCGCACAGCAGGTGTAAATAAGGATGCTCTAATTGAAGCCTATACCGTTTCTAGTTTAAAGCTTACCGGCTAGACTCGAAATTCAGTGGAGCTCGATTCTTTCCTGCCCATCTCCAACGCGCAGAGCGAAACCTGGACAGATCTTCCATCCGCGACTGACTTGACAAGGGTTAGGTTGCTTGTCTCCCGAAATTTTGGTACGGAGTACATGTACCATAATTAATAAAAGACGTCAACTCCCTTTGATCCCCGATATTCGTTGTCCGACACAAGTCTCGTGACGGCGTCGATAACGCTGTACAGCAAGCCCTTTTCGACTACAGTACTAAAATCATCTCGCCTGTTCCACCATTCATCCATCTTCATCGACCGCTTGTTTAGTTCGTCACCACCCTTCGCCGCGCGACCAACAAACGTGCGTGCGACGCTTGAAGGCCCCCCTTTACGAACCACACACTTTGTGCTTGCTTGCGACCAGCAAACTACCGCATATAGATCGCTATTTCCAAGTTTGATTATTTTCTGTTCCTTCCAGCATGTTTTACGTGGCTGCAACAGTTGAACACATAATACCTTTATTCAGCTTGCTCGTTGTCCTTGCCAATTAGGTATTGTAGGATAGGTAGGACTAACACCAAACCTTCGAATCGAGAGCGACAACTCGTCATGACGCAACATCGACCAGACGGGGATGTCTCGCCCATGGACGTCAGTCCTCGTTCAGTTTCCCCAGAGAACCCGAATCTCCAACCAGCCCCCCCACCTGTTTCCAAATCAACAACCTCCGATACTCTCCTAGCTCCTGTCGGCCTCAAGATTACAACCTTGCCAAACCCTCCTGGGTCGACCAAAGAAACGAAGCCAGCTTCAAACGAATTGGCTTCCGGCCACGGCAAGGCGCCTTTATCGGCCATACCGAGATCCACCCCAGCTTCAACCAAGTCGCTCAAGGACCATGGGATCAGCGACCGAGACTTTGGCCTGGCCGTTGACGGTGATGGGCAAGACAATACTCAGGCGCCTTCGAGGCCGAGCATACAATTCACCCGCCCAGATGGCGTCGATACGCCTCCAACATTTATGCGAGGCAATTCATGGGAAGAGCCAGAAACCCCAGGCAAGTCTCGTGGTGCCTCGTTGATGTCCAAACTCAAGGCTCTCACCAACAATGGTGGCGTGTCGACACCAAAGCCATCTACTGTGGCTGGACCTTCAAGTCAAGGCAATCAATCAAACATCAACTCTCCGACGCGACCGAGCCGTGGAGTCCCTGGCACTTTGACAGAGGAGGACACTGACGCGGACGCCGATGCCGAGGAAACAGCCGATGAGGGCAGCCCTGGAGATGGCAAATCGAAGAAAAAGAAACAGAAGAGAAGGATGCGCCGCACAAAGAAGGCAACCACTTCTACACCCGGAACG